ACCAGTTAGCGAGTTCTGGATCGGCAACGAGGCGATGCATCGGTTCACCCGCGACAACTGCAGTAGGCTGCGAATTGATCTGACCGATACCTACGGCGTACACTGGCGCGCTGAGTATGAGCGTTTCACAATAGATTCCGAAGAGACTGGTTACCGATTGCACGTATCCGGTTATTCAGGCAACGCGACCGACGCACTATCCTATCAGGACGGCATGGCGTTTAGCGCCAAAGATCGTGACATGGATATCAGCACCACCGACTGTGCGGCCAACTATCGAGGTGGATGGTGGTTTAGTCATTGCCAACACGCCAATCTCAATGGTAGATATTCCTTGGGCTTGACATGGTACCAATCGACGACCAATGAATGGATGGCAGTCACATCTTCCGAGATGTCGGTGCAACGGAAACAAGACTGTTAATGATGCCGAAGCTGTTGACGTTCATTTACGTTCATTTATAAATTCGAATTGATAGAATGACGCTGATTGATAAACAGAAAATCTTGAAATCTCCGTTAATAAGCTGTATTTAAATCGTGCACCTCATACTCAGTTCACAAGAATAATTATCATACCAAAGAGTTAAATGTAATTTAAAGACTTTACTGTAAATACATTGTATAGTTATGCACAAACTCTGTACATGCACAAAACTTATTATATCTGTATAGTAATAAAAAGTCATTGAAAGTAACTATAGCTTTTGCTTAAATAAATCGCATATTAAAAATATTTTTAATTATTATAAAAAAAAATTGTTAACCAATTATCATATTTTTTTATATTATAATATTATAATATTTAAAACAGATTTTTAATATTATAATATTTAAAACAGATTTTTTTGTGGCTAAACATAAGATAAACGCTATTGCATTACTCCATAGTATTATTATAGTATGCATTAATTTCGCTGCAGTTTTTTCTCAATTTCATCCACCTAGTATCGCCTGCCATTAATGGAGAAGAACGTCAGTTGTTAGAGGCGGGAACTTTTCACAATCAGTAATAAGTAATTGCGACTGCCATTCATCTTTGTATTCTGAATTCGGATCTATATTTAGATAAACGTATTATTTATACGCTGAATACGTTTGGAAAAATAATATCGAGTATGTTAACTCATTTAATTTGAGCAAGAAATAATTAAAGGCGAACTTATTGCGTGTATTGTACCGTTACATATCAATTCGATAAATAATAAATGTTAATACGTATTGTTGAAAATTTTAACAACGATGAGCCATAAACTCACTGTTGAGATTATTGATCACACTGGCATACCTGATACACAAGAATGGTACAATACGAATATCAGTGAATCAGTGAATACGTGACACTGCTGAATCACAATATGTATATCATACATCAAACATAAGATTAAACATTATAAAATTAAATAAAATCAAATTATGTATTATACTAAATTAATCAATAGAAATATAATTTCAGATTCTTTAACTACAGACATGATACATCCATATACCACAAAATGTTATACCTAATTTAAAAAACTTTATTTATAAAATACAGTTTTAAAGAAACTCATGAAAAAGATTAAAGCATTAATCTCTGTAAATAATTCTGTAAAAAAAACCTATATTATTTAATAAATACAATAAAACAATTTATATACTTTTAGCACAAATACATCAAGAGCACTTCACTAAAAAAGAAAGAGAAATACAATATTTCAGTCGCTTATATTTCTTTCTTAAAACACGCCGATACCTGGAAATATAAATGAAATATAAATGAAATTCCTTTTGTAATCCTAATGCAATTATATGATTATTATTGAATATCTTATCGTTATATACGTGTAAATAAAATACAGGAATTAAATGTAGGAATAATTAATTGAAAATTCAATTTACATACCATTTTCCACGGGTGTTTCTATCAGAAAATTTGATGGTTTCAAAAAGCGTGTCAATATAATATGATTATAAGCAATGTTTATTTCATGTACAGTATTTTCTAAAAGCTCATCAAGAGATCTCTCATCCTTTACAATTGATTTATCAGCTATTAAAGACAAATGTAAGTTGCCTCCATAACTTAATAGAGAAAAACCGAGAGCAGTAGTACTTCTGAAAAAAATGAATTGTGATATACATATGTCGTTACAACGCACAATTTTATTTGTTAATTATTTTAAAAAACGATACGATACTTGTTTGGTATCCAGAAGACAATATTGCTCAAGGAATTATTTAGAATATGAACTTTTTCTGGCCCGCACATATTGCTAAACACCATCGTGTTGTGACTTAAAAGAAAAGCCTTTAAAATTTTCCCCGGTAACAACGCCGATAGATACTTCATGATCCAAAAATTAAGCAAGATGTCTGAACTCTTTCTGAGTTTATTATTTGTTCTTGTAATATCTTGAAGACGCTTAAAAAATTGAGAATCTCGATTTGACTCGACGATTGTCTGTCCGTTTGCATTGGAGATACAAATTCGCAATAGAGCAATCGAAAAATTATTATCTAAAGTTAAATTTTCATCAGGTATTAACATTCTTATCGGCAAGATAACTGTTAATGCATCAGGAATTGGTTTTTTGAGCTACAAGAAAAATACAGGTTTATATTAAACTTAACTTTAAAATAGATTGATGTAATATAATTATTTCTTCTAATTTTCTAGATATTATTTAAATGTATTTCTGGATGTCTCTAGACTTATTTATCGCTTAAAAACTTTACATATACATACGCGTAAATGATATTTGTGTACACTAGCAGAAAAAGCTGCCAATACTACATCTTCAAATTTGGCACCTGTATTTCTTCTTATCTCGCGAATTTTCGTCAAAAGATTCTGCGATTTATCATTTACCACATCATTATCTAACCAATAGGACATTATTTTTTCACCCGTTTGAGATGGACCATGCAAAGCGCTATAAAAATTTACATTTAATTATAATAAAACTCATTAAAAATTAGTAATGGAGAGTGGAAGAATTGCAAATATATCTAAAGAAAAAGTTAAATAAAACTGAGGATTATTTATTAATT